CCCCAAAACCCCAAAACCCCAAAACCCCAAAACCCCTTTGTTCTGAATAAATATAGAAATTCATAATGACTGAAAGAATGTTATGCCAACCCTCATGCAGCTCCTTTCTTGCAAGACCCTTACGAAACAGCAGTGACTCCAAGAAAGTCAAAAGGTAAACTTTTACAAGAAGGGAATTAATGGTTTTATAGGATTAAAAACAACATCTCTAATGCTTACTTATCAAACTTGGGGAATCTAGTGCATCCTCAAAAAGCTATGAAGGGTATCAAAACTTTCTCTAAAAACAGAAGGATTAAGACTAAAAGTTATGTAATTGAGGCAAATTCTAGCGGTCAGTTCTTTAGTAACAGAAGCTTTTTTAAGCATGAAGAGAGCAATATTTCTAAGCCTGAGAATAATAACCTTGACTATAATCAAAACCATGATGACAATTCTGGTCATGATCTCGTAAGGAACGACCACCAAGTTGATCTTTCGATGATCTCCAACAACTCTAAAGGAAGGTAAGAATGGAAAATTTTCTTGATTAGTTTCTTTGAATTATATCAGCTTTTCCATTTATTAAGATAAAGTTATTTATTACACAAAATAGGAAAAATCATAACAAATAAAGCGATGAAGTCCTTCATCGAACCGATAGTCAAGCAATATAGAAAAGAGCTAGACCGGAAGGTTCTAGGTATCTCAAAGAATAGGTACTCAACCAACAAATTCACATTTTTATTAATTTAAATGGCTCACTTTGGGGAATAACTCTATTAGACTCGAAGAAAATTCCAAAACAATTGAAGATATTAATCTCAAAGGGGAACAAGATAATCACCTTAGAATTACTAGAGACAACTGAGGTAAGCATTATCTAAGCCATGATTAATGTGCTGTATAGATATAATGAGCTGAGACCTATCAAAGAATGAAACTTCTAGTGAAGTTAATAACTTAATGCAACAAATACAGTCTAATACAACAGTATTTGAGCAAATTTATACATATAGAAGCTAAATAATGAATGCTCAAAAGCAAACGTATTGCTCAATATCAACTCTGATCTTGAAAATGGGAATATTGGACTTGTCCCAACCAAAGGTAAATTCTCTAAAATATTTATTTAATTCTAAATAGTAGTAAATCACAAGTGTGTCACACCGACTTCAGAGGAAGAACCTATTGCTCCGAGCTTCCTTAGAGATAAAGACCTAGATGCCTCTAATCCTCACATTTTACATGTATCACCGAAGGTCTGTGATGAATCTCAAAATTTTCAGAGGAATATAAAGTTCTTTAGAAGTAAAGCTTCTTCAGTGGCAAGATCTGGAAAGGTGAATATGCTAATTAAAAAGGATCAAATAGTACAAAAGAGTACTTTATATAGTCATTTTTAGAGAAAGAGCCTCTCAAATTTCATAACAGCACTCGTACATCCCCTCTTCTTCCTCATAAGGGTCTTGGACAAGAAAGTAATCCTCTGATTGCCTCCAGGCCTTTCAATGCTACTCATAATTTGGAGATCTCACAAAATGCTTCCGAGTTTTTGAAGCAAAACCGGCAAAAAGTAATTTTGTGAATTCTAATTAAAGATGACTGATTTCATCCAACAAAGCAAAGGCCAAAAGAAAGCTCAGGCTCGGCTGTTATTAAAAGGCAAACAGAAGCAGCAGAAATGTAAGTTATCATAGAACTATCAATCAAGATCTTAATATTGATCACTTGTCAAACATTAATGTGATTCCATCCGATATCCGAACTCCTTCATTCTCCCCGTCCTTTCCTTTCTTTAATCTATTATAAATCATTTTCTATAGCATATTTCAAAAAGATAATGAAGTTTTCAGTCAACAATGAAATGATGAAGATTAAACGAAAGCATGAAGATGGTAAGATCTGTTACCTTAATGTGTGATAGATTCTCGTGAAGAGCACAAGAGAAGAGATTTAAAAGTAACATTTGAGTTACCTAACATCTAAATTTTAACTTTTATTAGTTTCTTCTTAAGGCTAATTTCTGATGAACATTCAAATACTTTATAAAACTTGGAATTAATAAATAGCTGAATTATTCTCAATCCACTTAAGACTCGAATTTTCAATCTTAATCAATGAGGGAGGGGTTTTGGGGTTTTGGGGTTTTGGGG